GGTGCAGGGCAGAAGGCTGGGTGGGTGGGGGGGTTCAGGGCAGAAGGCTGGGGTGCTCGGCTCATGGGGGTGCTCCCAGCCCCCTGCCGTCTGCCCTGAGCGGCTCATGGCAGGGGGCTGGAAGGGATATGTCCTGTTCCACCCCCTTCCCCAAGGCCCATCCCTACCTCTTCTCTGCCTCCTTTACCCAGGGCCGGCTTTAGCAAGGGGCCGCGGGGCTGCCGCGCGCCGGCTGGAGCTCCGGCCGGGAGAGCAGGGCCGCGGGGCTTTTGCGGAGCAGCGAGCACGCTGCCACTCCTCCCCCGTCCCTTTGCAAGGGCCGGCGCAGGGAAGGAGAGGAGGAGGGGCAGGAAAGCAGGCTGCACCACGGCTGTGGGAAGAAGGAGGGGAGGGGGAAGCTTGGCTGTTGCAGGATGAAGCTTCTGCCTACTGCCCCCGCAGGGCAGAGCGGTGGGCGGGGGGCTGAGTGCGGCTGGGGGTCGGAACCGCAGCAGGCAGCTGTGTGCCATTCAAAATGGTTGCCGACCCCTGTACTAGAGAATCTAGTGAGTCCAGTGTAATGGGAGGGAGTAGGAAAATCCCTGGCTGTGGAGAACACTGGGAAATTAGAAGCTATAATTCAGGAGTAACAGACTCTAATTAGTCTGGAAAAGCAGACTGTGAAAAATAAAAATCAGGTCATCTGACTACAGGAATGAGGGACTCAAAAATCCAAGGAGCCTGCAGAGAAGAGAGATTGTGGCTATTACACACAGTGATAGGGGAGCAAGACTCTCCATGTCTCAGGGAGTTTCACTACCAACATAAGCCATTTTCACATGCTGGGGTGCAATCCAGACTAGTAAAGAGTTGTGTCATCTGTAATCCTGGGTGAGATTCAACGTTCTGCTGCTGGAGCGATCCTGTCTGGATACCCCCAGCCAGCATTCAAGGATGCCCTGAGTGTCTGTGTGATAAATAACCCTGGACCAGCAGCTCTGACTCCTGCAGCCTGCCTGTTACACCCCAAACACATTCTGCTTTGGGTGAAGAAGGCTCAGGGTTTGACAGAAGGTCTGGGGTCGGAAGCTTCTGTTGGTTATGCCAGACCTAACCCCCAGTTTTACTTGTGCAAACAGAAGATATTTGACACTGTGTGATACTGCTCCTGTGCTCTGTTCCCAAAGTATTCTGCAGCAGGGGTAGTGTGTGTGTCACTGGCATACTGGGGTGATGCAGAAACAGGGCAGAGTAGAGTTGGCATTGTGGGGCTGGTGGGAACCTTATCTCTTCATTTCCCCTTCCAAGAACCGAGGGACAGGAATCCTTACCCAGCGAGGTCACATTCTCATAGTTCTCCTGCATGACGTCTCTGTACAGAGTTCTCTGAGTTGGGTCCAGCAGACCCCACTTTTCCCTGGTGAAATACACAGCCACCTCCTCGAAGGTCACCAGCCCCTGAAAGAGCAAGAGTCCAACACTCAGTACCTGCTGCCCCACTCACAGCCCCACTATTCATGAGGAAGAGAGGAGCCAATCAAAGGGAAGCTCTGGGAGGCTCACAGTCAACAGAGTCCCACCCCCACCCAGCTCAGAGCATCCAGGACACACCAGGGTGAGGGGAGGAAGAGCGAGCCCCTTGTCTCTCCCAGCAGATCCATCATACACCTACTAGCCACAGACTGATGCAGGAGATGGAGCCCCTAGCAGGGTCCACAGAGAGCTCCCTGGTAGGAAGCCCAACACCCTCCTCATTGTGAGGAGCTGGATATGAAGGGAGGGGAATCTCCCCTAAACCTGACTGGTGGGTGCCCCCTTCATATCTGTGACAAACTGTGACTGTTCTTACTGTGATCTTTGAATGCTGACAGGGGTGTGTGGCTAGGATAGTCTGCATTGGGGGATGGGAGACTGACCGAAGGAGAATACCTGAGCATGTAACATGAGAACCCAGGAAGGGGTTAGAGGCCAGGTGACACCTTTGCCCGGGAAACTGAACAAAGGCCATGGGAGGGGTCGCTGAAGGCAGAGTTTCAGGAGCTGGCTGGTGATGTGGCTGGGAGGCAGACAGGGCTCTGACCTCCCAAAGGGGCGGGGGCGCCCTGGGACCCCAAGATGGACCTAACTGAGGGGGGTCCTGTTGTCTGTGCCTGCAAGACCTGTCTTGGACTGTATTCCTGTCGTCTAAATAAACCTTCTGCTTTACTGGATGGCTGAGAGTCATGGTGAATCGCAGGAAGCCAGGGGTGCGGGGCCCTGAGTCCCCCAATACTCCGTGACAATATCTCACAGCAGCCGCTGGTTACTCAGGTCAGGCTCCAGCACTACGAATCTGGTCAGTTTTCCTAGCTCCACGTAGGTGTGTTATTTTCTGTTCAAAAATTAGGGCATGTCCACCTCCGAACCTCATGGGCCTGTTCCTAGAATCTAGGCCACTTATTAAACAACTCCCAGCAGGTTTGCCACACCCTGTCCTCCTCCCTTTCTCCACCCTGTGCATTTCCTGCCCCGCTCCAACCTCCAAACCAGACTGTGCAAACCTTCCTATCTCCGGTATATTTGCTGTCCTTCTCCCTCCTGCAGGAACCCACCAGCAACCCCCCCGATAATCCCTACTTGAACAGGCTCCTCTGCGGCCATTTCTCTCCCCTGTCCCATGGGAGGACGGGATGAACTGGAGCAAAACAGGGACATCATTCTGCAACCTGTCTGGGTGAGGAGGACAGTTGTGGAGGTTTCAGAACAGGCTTTAGTTAATTTCACAGCACGATTCCCCCAGGCCCTTTCCCTGCAGACAGACATCCTAGATTCTGCCATGCTGGGAAAATACTTGATCTCTTTATTACAGTGTAGACCTGGCCCCTCCTGCCAGGCTAAGCCCACAGACACATTTTTAACCTCCCTCCCCCCATCCCGTAACAAAGTCTCTGAACACAAGGTTAGAAAAAAGCAGAACCAGAGCAGTGACTTTTGACAATTCCCTCTGACACTGACCCCATGGCAGCCACACCCCAGCAGGAGAGATATGGACTCAGGAACTGGGTTTAACTCTGTCTGATCCTCATCTTGTGCACAGGAAAGTGACTCTACCCAGGGTGCAGTAATACATCTGTCTGGGCAAGTTAGAGATCTGGAAATCTCTCTCAAAACTCTTCTCTCCCACAGCCACTTTCAGTCTCTCTCCTTCTATCTCCTTTTCCCTATCCCCTCTCCCTGCCCATCTGGTAGGAAAGTCCCATTCCTGAGTTGTTTGCTCCCCATGGCTGGATTTGCTGCTGCAATTGCTAATGGGAGAGAAATGACTGGAGGGACCGGGGTGGGGGGCTGTTTGTGTAGAGTCATTTTAATGCCAGACCCCAGCATTTTCCCTTCGTTTCTTTTAGTTACCTGGAGTCTCTGGCTCAGAATTTAGTATTAATAGGGCTCAGGGCTGCCCTAGGGGGCTAGTACCAGCTGGAGAAAGTCATCACCTGGGCCAGGCAGAGAAGAAGCTTTAGTTAAAAGGTCACTTCCCAGCACAGAGCCCCCACTGGGGGAGCAGCAGCTGCCAAGCCTGGTCTCCCAGATCACAATGGAGGCTGCAGCGTCTGACCCAGGAAGCTGAACCCCAATATCCTGAGCAGAGAGAGACAGAGCGTTTGAGCAGCTTCCCTCCTTTAGCTCTCTGGGGAGAGCAGCTAATGAGAGCCCCTCCTCACAGGGAGAATTGCTGATCTAATTTGCCCCACTGTCCATCTGGAGTCACTCCTTGTCTTTCCATGCAGTGACTCTGGATTAACAATGGTCTCAATGAAACCAGATTTCAGAAAGAAAGAGTCCAGAATGCTGTGGAAGAGACCATTGTGTGCCAGTGCTAACCCCCTTCCCACCTCCCTCACCCCCCAGATCTAGGACAAAGACTGGGGGGCAGGAAATTTCCCAATGGAACTGGCAGTTCCTGCAGTTTTCAAGAGGGGAGAAAAGCAAAATCTGTGATTTCACCTCACAGTATTTGATAAGTGGATAGAAAGTTATCACGGTGACTAGGCATGGACGGGGAATGCTGGGTAGTGCTTGGAGCCAGGATTCTGGCACAAGCTGATCAGGGAGAAGGAGCGAAGTCAGGAGCAGCCCGCGAAGCCCCCAGCCAGGGCCCCCCAGCACCCAGAGCACAGCTAGGGTCCCACCAGATATGCCCTAGGACCCAGCCCCCAGAGTCCCTGGCCAGGGACCCCAGATACCCCACCGGCCAGAGAACGCCCACCAGACCATCACTGCCAGGCTGGGAAACCCAAAGAGTTTTCCCCCACCAAGAGCCCCCAGCAGCCAGGTGTTAGGATATAGCTATTCAGGCCTGTCTATAAAGGCCTATACTTTAAGAATTTAGGTGTATTCTTATAACTTAGCTAGTTATAGAGGTATAAAAGAAAGAATCAAAATCACTTTCTGTATGTGTATGGGCCTTCTCTCACTAACAGTCTGAGGCCTGATTCTTAGGCTAAGTAAGGCCTTCGGCTAAGCAGCAGAGGCAGCCATAAGCTGAGAAGTGAATGGTCACATCCTCACATTCCAAACTAGTCACATGGAAATAAGGCGCTATTGGGCTGTTAGGAATACAATCCTGTCCTGATATTCCCATCACCTCCAGAGAAAGGAAAGAGCCTAGAAGATCTAAAAGGAAACTTAGGTTGATAGTTTTCTGTCTGGTAAGAACTCACTTCTCAATAGACACAGCTGGAAAACGCTTACGTCTGTATAGATGTAGTTGTGAAATCCTCACTTCTATATTGTTTTGTATGTTTATTTGCATGGTCTCTGTCTGGTTCTGTAATTGTTTCTGTCTGCTGTATAATTAATTTCGCTGGGTGTAACCTAATTAAGGTAGTGGGATATAATTGGTTAGCTAATCATCTTACAATATGTTAGGATTGGTTAGTTAAATTTTAGTAGAATGATTGGTTAAGGTATAGCTAAAAATATTACTATATAAATTAGGGGCAAACAGGAAGTAAGTTGGGATTCGAAAATAAGGAAAAAGGAACTTGGATTTAAGCTTGCTGGAAGTTCACCCCAATAAACATCAAATTGTTTGCACCTTCGGACTCCGGGTATTGTTGCTCCCTGGTCCTTCTCGCATGAACAGAGAAGTGTGAGAGTGAAGGAACAAGCTCTCTAACACCTGGGACCCCCCCACTGGGAACTCAGTCCCTCACTGCCTGCCTGGGATTCCCCCCACTGCATGCCTAGAATCCCGACCTGCCCTCCAGCATGATCTGCCATGCCGTTTCCCTGGGACCACCTCTTCCCCCACAGCGGGACTCCTCATTCTGCTTGTCTGGCATCCCCTGACCTAGTGCCAGGAATCCCCCTCCCCAGCTCTGTGCACCGGGCACAGCAACGATCCAAGCAGCCAGTGCGGGAAGCCTAGACAGAGAGCCCCTGGCACAGCACCAGGCACCCTCTAACCCCCTGTCCCGCCTCTCCAAGAGACACCTACCCCCGCTGTTCTGCGGGCACCAGGCCCCCAGCAATACCCACCTCCAGGACCCATAGCCTCAGGGCTGGGCACATCACAACCACCCCTTGAAACTCCAAACCTCCAGAACCAACCAACTTGACTAGGGTACCCCCTGTCCAGTCACCCAGAGGTCTCCCCCTACCACAATGCCCCTTCAGCTCCAATCTCCCCACACAGAAACTCCTCCACCCACCCAGCAACAGTGTCACAAAAGCATCTGATAAGTGGATAGAAAGTTATCACCGCCCCCTGCTGGCCAGTCACACAGGCAGAGGGAGCCCTGGGGGATGCTTCGTTAGCAGGAGAATGGAAGGCAGGGAGGGCCAAAATAGGTAAGAAATTTCCATGCTCTGTCACTAGCAAATAATGGCGATCATGGATCAACCCCAGAGGTGGCTGCATCTTAGCACTGTGGGAAGCAACCCCGCACAGAGACCATTTGTCATGGGCTTTGAGATACTTCTTGACCCACGCTGCACTCACAGTGACCTCCTGATCCTGTGCCAGCTGGAGAAAAGAAAAGGGTCCAGCCAACTCTCCTGTTACCAACTGGGAACCACCGATCCCCCAAACATGGGGAGGCCTCTGGCTTTGATGTATATTAAATATGTGGCTGGTCTCTTTCATCGGCAAACAATTTAACAGAGATTGAAGGAGCTACGTATTTGATAACATGAGGGAAAAACACCAAGATCTGAGGGGATTTTATATTGCCATTAACCAACTAGTGGAAAAGGAGGATTGTTGGACTGGATTTTATAGGACTGTCCAATACATAAACACAAAGTGATTGTTCCCCTCACCCCCACCATTCACATGGGCAGCAAGGAGCCCTTTGAAGAGCTGATTTAAGAGGGCAAGGGAGGGGGAGCTGGAAGGCTCCCTGGATGAGTGAAGAGGGCATCAGTGGGGGATGAGCAGGTGACTGGCAACTGATTGCTGGGGTAACTGTGTTGGTAGTTAGGGGGCAGCAAGTGGGATTGGGAAACCGGAGTCTGGGCCATCCCCATGGGGGACACGTGCTCCTCCCTTCCCTACCCTGGCAGAGAACACTCCAGGGGCAGCCATGTTTTGGGGAATGACTCAGGGCAACAATTTCCCACCTAAACAAGGACAAATCGCTGCAGATAAAATGGCTGAGAAAATCACCCTAGAGAAGATTTTAAATTGACATTTGAGACTCATGGAGAGAACAGGGGGAAATCGGGGGAGACGAGAGAGCTGATCATTTGAGGGGAAATGGGGGAATCTCCCTGGATTTTATAGTCATGTGTGAGATACTGAGAGAGAAAAGGGGCAGAACTAGAGAGAATTTGTATCGGGGTGTGAGAGGCAAGTGGCACAAACAGGGAAAGG